GTGGTGCCAGACATAAGAATGTCGGGCATACTGATGCGGTTAATCCTTTCCGAGGGCTAAGTCCAATAATCTTTCCCTAGTTTGCTTAAAACAGTTCCCTCAACATTTCCTCTATCGTAAGGAAATACCTATATACATTTGTAGGCAGGCGGTGTGCAAGCGGTACCTATACTCAATATATTCAATATACTATATTTGTATTTGTAATTTCCGAAGTAATTCCTGTATTCATACTATCTTCAATCAATGAGAATTCAATGTTTTTTTATCTACCCGCCTCACACGGTGAAAAATCCTATTGAATGAAGCTTTTCGTCAAAATGGAAATGTATACAATTTATTTCATCAAGAACTCAAATTTTGTTGAAGTTCTGTCAAATTGTGTAAGTACATGATTTCTTGAACATTTTCCACATTTCTGAGACGATATTATGTGTCAGTATAATTCAAAGGGTATATAGCTATAAAATGGTCAGTCACACCATCCGTTGGTTACGCAATCTGGTGTAGACCTGGAGTTGAAATCAAATCAACAATTTTCACCGTGTACCTTATCCAGCCGTTGCGCGATCACAGCATGCGCGCAATCAATATATCGCCGAGTTGTTCAATTGAGTGATGATATTGGTAACCTAAATCATATCTTGTTCACGTGATATCAATAATTGATCATCTTGGGTGATGCAGAAGAAATATCATATCTCAATCGGATCAAGATAGCGCCGACAGTTTGTTGGACTAGCGAAATCTGCATCGAGTGCTTTTAGCCAGTAGTGCACAATAGAATGCTATTCAAAAACATCAGTTTGATATGAAATTTCTATCTTTCAAATGGACCACGTATATTTCGAAGTTACGAAATACTATCAAGGTATTTTCATCTCAAATAGCACATACTGTACATCTGAAGCCACAAGTATGAAAAAAATATGCTAAAACTGACCTATATTAGAAATCGAATTGAATTCACCACGCCACTTTTCCTCTTTCGATAATCACCCGATTTCATGGAGATAAAGTATTTCCATGCAATTTTCCAACTTCATCGTCACGACGCCAATTAATATTATTTGAAGGAGTGTAGGCTAATTTCCTAATGGCCGTTACATGTTTTTATTTTAACAAATAACTTAATATTAATTCGCCGTTAGGACTGGATAATTAATTAACCTGAAAGTCGTCATTTCGTGCTTTTTTAGTTGCTAGCAGCCACGAAATATGATAAGGAGGTCGGTTGATTTCCTGAGGGAATTCAAGTTACTTCATCAGTATTCGCTCACTTATCTTATGAATCTAGTCGAATTACTTCGGTGTGATATACCTTCTGAGTTAAATTCCGTTGTGAAAATTTGGAAAATTGTTTTATGCTGACAACCGCCGAGACAAACTCTTAGATTAAATTGATGATCAGATTATTCCGTATACGCAGTGTGAAAGATATAACAGCCCCAACGTAAAGTAGTATAGCTGAACATATAATGATGAGATCACAAATATATATATAGTAGATATAGTTTTTTCTTATTAGTCGGTCTGTTTCAAAAATATAATCTGCCTTTGAAATTGACAATTTAATTCATGATGTATATGAAAACTCCCACAAGCCGCGTGATATTGTCATTATGACAGCGAAAAAAGTTTGCCCTAACTTTGCCAGCGACAATAATGGAACCTATCTTTTGAAAGCATGACAACAAGTCATAAACAAATGTTTGATGAATTTAATTGTCTAACCGAATCACACTATACATAGCTTTTCTTATAGTCGAAGTGAACTTGGCATTTATAATTCGAATTTTGTTGCCATTAGGTAATTCAACTCAAAAAACTGCAGAAAAAATTACTCTTCCTACGTCCTACTCGTTTTCAGAGGCAGTTTTTTTCAAATTGCCAGGCAACAAAATTCTTATTTACTTCGACAAAAAAGGAAAGCTCTCGTGTAATTGAAGGTAGAAATTTCAAAGTGGGCACCTCGATTCGAATGGTATATGTGAACATGCCTCCTAGCTTGCTTAGTTCCTGAGATTGCAGGATGTTGAAGTTCAAAATATTATACTGGACTACTGATGGGCTAATAGTGCAAATAATTGTCATTCAGGTACTTCACTGTGTCGAAAAGTACCTAAATTAATTTCTGAAACACTTCTTATACGTTTTTGATGTGTCTGAGTGTTGTTTGAAATTTATGAATTTCAGCGTTTATTCCAAACGTGCCGCCATGGCTGCTATGTGATCATGTTCTGGAAAACGTCGCACACATGATTTGCGTTTTATTTATACAATTCCACAATCGGACTCACTTCAATGTGTCGTTTCATTTGCAAAATTTCTGATTCTGGTTGCTACTTTTCATACCTCTCACCACAATGATCGACGTGGAATGATTGTTTACAGTTGCCAAAAAGTCAAATCAGATTGACAAAAAACGAAACTTTCTGGAAGTTAATAGTATATTACGTAATATGTGTTATAAGAAGCATATTACGCACGAATGGAAAAGTTACGCACGAAGCCGCGGAACGGCGAGTGCGTGATTCCATGAGTGCGTAATTGCTTTATACAACACGCATTACGTACTATATATACTTCACCTATATACTGCCATATGGTACATCGAAAATGTTTGGACAAACAGTCTGAATTATAAATCTTGGCAGTTATGTTATCCGCTGTTGACGGCGATCACGCGATCATGACTTACCTATACTGGCGAAATAAACGAAAACTGTGCGATGTGCTTACGGTGCGTAAAGAGCTACTAACTGAGGCTGTATATCGTTTGTTCTCACCTACTTTCTATAGTGGCCGTAAGTAAAGACATTTCGAAGACTTATCTATCGTTAGGTTCACAAGTTTATGATTTTTTCAAGTAAGACAGGTTTCATAATTATGTTTAATCATTCAATAATACTGAATCAACATCAATACGCATCTAATACTTAGATACTCAATAATCCAATAACAAAAACCAGTAAAAACAGAAACAGATGCATCTAATACTTCTTTGAACGTCACAACTATTAGATACGAATCTGATAAGCTCACAAGAGATTCTCAAAAAGACTGCTATTGCTGCTCTAAGTCTGCATAACATCTTCTCACTGATGAATTTGAGATATTATTCAAAATGTTTTCCGTTATACTCTGAGTACGTACTTCTTCTGTTTCGAAGGCTCGCTCATAATACCTAGTTATCCATACACCAAGGTAGTGAAGAATATCAGTATCAATCAGGGACCAAGATTATATCCCGATGCTCCAGCTGAGGAGTATGAGGTTCGTTAGTGATATTTCTCTTCGCTCAATTCCAAGGTGTATATTACATAATTTTCACCACAATCAAAAAATACTTCCTTTTTCATATTTCTGCAGGTTATGTTTCCCACTTATTGATCAATCCAGGGTGGTTCAATTGAACCAGTCCTTTCAAAAGAACAGTAGGCCGGCCTTAATGTTTTCAATGTTCATAAGTAAAATAAAGAAATAAACGTACAAGAGTCTTCAACATTATTATAACTCTGCTAATGAGAAGCAAACAGTAATATAACATTTGAGCTATATGTAATACATATCAAAAACAAAAAATTCATGACAAAAAAACTATGTCTTGGGTCATATTTCAAAATCAGTATGATTTTATGGCCGATAGTGCAGAATCCACCAAATCTTGACGCAAAATGTTATCTCAATATAACTGAAATAAAAACATCAGGTATGATGAATACCTAATTGTGGTGCACGCACACAGAGATGTGAGATATGTCAACAATATGGTAGAAACTCCTTGTTCCAAAATTACCTAATAATACTATTATTAGTTGGTCTCACGAACTGGAATGCAAGATGCGGTGTTAGAAGGGAGTATACCAAGCTACCCAAACACAGCAGCGATTAGATGCCAAACTTCTTTCTTTTCTTGAAACAACTTCTAATTCTAATGCGCGGGCCATATAATCTCTCTGGCCATATAAGGCTCCACTACCTCATATGATGCTACAATGCTGTTTTCTTCAAGGTATTGGGAAAAGCCACTAACCATGGCAGAGCTCTTTGAGAAATTGGAGGATGACTTTACGCGGGACATTCCTACAGGCATTATAATTTATCCTTCCGAAAGTGCCAACGGAAACTGTGACATATGCTATGTATTAGCCAAATTGCAACGATACCCAGAATAAACTCATATCAGACGCCTCGTCAGCCTCTATTTCCAGTGATATATTTCAATTCGTAATGAGCAATCTTCATTGCAATGATAATACTTCCATTGATAAAAAATGACAAGTACTCTAAACGGCGTACTCTTTTCAACAGGTTATGAATAAAACATTTTATGATTACGGGATATCCTCGGGGCAATCATACTAATTAGTTTTTGATATTTTCAAGTATTTTCCTAACCATAAGCATAAGATATAATATAGATATATTCTCAAATCTTGATCATACACGGTAAAAAAAATTTGTTACTGTGACAATATTCTGGTTAATATAGGCACAACCAGATACACATTGTTGCTGTCACCATATCGAATGGTAACTATAACGATAATCTGGCTATAGTAACAATAAAAAATGGTTAGTGTCACAAGATATCTGGTTGTGCCTATACTAACCAGATGATTTTTTTCCGTGTATTTTCCAATAGTATAGCCCTTTTTCCTCCCGTCCTTTCAAAGAGACCGCTGTTTTTTCCAAATCTAGAAACCGAAAATGTTTTTTAACCGTTTAAAAAAATACAATATCGGAATGAAATAATTTCAGGGTCGAATAGATTGATAGTATAGATGTCACGATGATGTTTCATTTGAACTTGCCCATCTGAGCGTGTGCAGTATAATACCTCATATATTATGCTTATGTATATAGTCATTTGTCTTCAAAGAACGGCTTCCATTTGCCCTAGGAAACAGATGAACATTATCCATATTGTTCATTAGCACATATGTGATTCAACTTTATGAATGCTAAACTATCTCGGAACAGCATAATCAACTCACCCGTTCTGGTCCGACACCGTTGTCTGCATCCAGGACCGGGCCGTCGAGAGGGGCTCCTCCTTGAGGCTGGGCCCCCGCGGCTGGTGGTGGTGGTGTAGGCCGGTGGCATCCTGGTGGTGGTGCAGGCCGAACATCAGACCAGGACCGGCCACTCTCGAGGTGCCCGAACCTGTACAAATAAGAAGGAATTCTGGATTCTATGCGGAACAGCAAATATATTTGATTCGACTATAGAGTGATTCGACCATATCGCTCTTGAATAGGTTCAACCAAATACACGGTGAAAATTTTTGAGTGAAATTTAACACAAAATGAAATCAATGTTTTGTCAATCCAGGTCCACGCTCGATTGTGTTGCCGCATTTCAACAACGGACCTTCGAGTTACTTTCACCCAAAAATTCGCAAAAAGTTAACACATTTATGAGTGAATACTTGGAAAATTTCGAGAGGATTTTCGTCAAAATCAGCGTTGATCTTCACACAATATTCATTGAAAATTCAAAATATATGTGAAAATAATCACTAAATATTGTGCAGATCCCACACACAATTTTAGGCGAGATTTCAGGTGAATATTCACAGAATTTTGGTGAATCTGGTTACTCAATGTAGGTATAGCGAAAATACCTATTCATTATGAATTAGGTGGGAGCTGGGAAAATGGAAGAACTTAATTCAATGAAAATACCCTTCAGAAAATACAGGATTTTATTCATGTATCAATATTATGAATAGAAATCTATCAATACTTGAACGCAGTTGGTCTGATGTATACATTAATTCTTCCCCTATAAGCAGCAGCAGCAGGAGCAGTATAGCGCAGCACTATTTATATAGTTAACATAAAAAAAAAGATTGTTAGTTATTTATTCACTTTTTAAATTAGTTTGAATGTTCTCAAAATTAATTGAAATTCTCTAGAATTCACAGGAGATCCTGGAAACTTGAAATCCCTATACCAAAAACGAAGTCTGCATGGTGCATTTATGCATGACCCTGATGGTTAATTACTTATCGGAATTCCTACAATTTAAGGAAATTCGCGAAATCACAAATATAATTCGAAAGATGCAATGGAGCGAGGAAATGTCATAATCTTCTTGATAAAATTCATGCACACATTAATAATGAAATTCGACATTAATTTGATATATATATACACAAAAATATACTAACTATTATTCAATCTTCTTCCTGACATTGGTGAATTCGAAAAAAAATTCAATTCATTCAATTTGACACCCGTATAATTAACAGCCATCCAAGAGTGAAAATTAACTCAATGGGACTTTTACCGTGTAAGAAGGTGTTGTCGATCCTATGCGGAGCACAGCATTGATTCGACTAGAGTGATTCGAACATATCGCTCTCGAATATAGGTTCAACCTCGGGTTCAACCAAATAGTTGTTTGATTTTTTAACAGAACTTCCCTGTTACATTTATGAAAGAAGATTTTGATGGCAATGAATATTTCTTGATTATCGCAGACACTATACTGATCGAAGCAAGATTCAATTAGTTCGAAACAAGAAAATCGGTCTATTGTCTTTGATGTCCCATCAATGTTGAACAATTTCGTTCTTGAATCAAAAATTTTCGAACTTGTTGCAATAGATTATGTCTCATTGTGAAAATTGTTCATATTCTTTCAGAAGATCTTTATTTCCTAGTGCCAAGAGATTCTCATTATGAAGGAAATGAAATACAGCTGATTATTAGAGTATTGATGGTCTCACATAAATCTAATGAAATTAACGCTTACATAGTTGGTAAATACTTTATCATCAAAAATTGGTCATTCTTTTATGAATGGAAATGAATGAGACCATGATGTGTATAAAATAAATAAAAACATCAACATGATAGTATAATCGTCTGACACTGGTCTGTAGATCTATTGGAGGTGGAAGTCTCTTGGTAGTCCCTTATGCAAGTTGTCGATGGAAAAAGAAGGGAAAACATCTCAGAACGACTAGGTTACAAAACTATACAAAGTTCAGAGTTCGTTTCTGTTCGAAATTAATACCTAGGTTTTCCTACACGTATTTACTCTCTCAAATTGTCCTCAGTCTGATGTGGAATGCCGCATTGCTGATAAAATGATACCATATCATCAATATCCATGACTCAGCGCACTTTATTCTTTTACACTTCACCATAGATTAAAAAAAAACACTTCACTATTGAAAAACAATGGAGTTTTGCACCGTTCACTATCGCCGTATGGCGACTGGCGAGTCGATTAGCGCAGGCGTTCAGTTGACCCCAACCGAGACCCCAACGCCACAGTTTGAGGCTTCACGACGTCACTGCAGAATTTTTAGACAAGCAAAGGTTTTCTTGAGTTTCCCCAAATTAGGAAGAATACTGTTCATGTTGAACAACTTCATACCAAGGAATTTCAAGAAACGAAGCAAGCTGGCTACAAGAAAAAGATTGTCGCGGATTGTCGTCTATATACACGGCTGATTGCACCATGGCAAACGTGGCATAAAGCGGGGGTGGACAGTCAAATATTTAAGAACAAATTTCGATATACATTTGTTCTCTCACAAATGTCGAAAAATGACAAGGTTTGCGTATTGATAACAATATGTCACTTTTTTCCGTTTTCTTTACGTTATCATAAAGACACCTTGCGCGAAACATTGTACCTATGTGAAGGAAAACAGCAAAAGTTATTTTGACATGGAAATATCATCACATACATCAATCTAGATGGGTACAGCAATGGATTTATCAATTTGAAAAACGACATGCAGATACGAAAGTAGAACCATGGTTAATATCCTGGCAGACATTTTATCAACAGGGCGCGCTGAAGCTATATATAGAGCATTTTCAACAAGCGCTCACCGTATAAGAGAAGTATTCGATTATTTTAAAATTCAATTAATATGCCGATGTGAATTGATTTTTATAGATTGTTTATTATTCTCAATGCGATAAAACTGATATGATTTTGCAAATCATCAGCAGGAATTCACGCATAAACTGCGGATGCGATCAGATCCCGGCATTAAAGGTGACTCCTCGGGTGACTCTTTTAATTTCGACAGTGAAAAAAATTGAAAACAGTCTCGTATGGGATATTTTCCCTCTAGAATCAACAGATATATTTTCACAATTTGAATTGGGAATTTGAAATATGAAGGGAACAGAAATAAACAAAAAGGGGTCTTTTCCAGTAGGAATCAGCCATCATATACCGAGGGGTAAACCGCGGTGGAATTCTAGTGTACAAGCAACTGGAATTCCTTGAAATTCCTCGGAATTCCTTGGATTTCCTTGGAATTCCTTGGGATTCCTTGGATTTCCTTGGATTTCCTTGGAATTCCTTGGAATTCCTGTGAATTCCTTGGAATTCATCCATATTTTTATCTCAACGCATGCTCAGGCATTCCCTGGATTTTATTGGAATTCCTTGGAATTCCATGGATTTCTTTGGAATTCCTTGGATTTCCTTGGAATTCGTTGGAATTCCTTGGAATTCCTTGGAATTCCTTGGAATTCCTTGTAATTCCTTGAAATTCTTTGGAATTCCTTGGAATTCCTTTGAAAACTGCATCCTCTTTTAGAAGAGAATGTATGCAGCTCCCGCTATTTTTGTAGAACACTATTGGACCTCGCGCGAGATCTTATGGTAGATATGAAGAATGATGTCATCAACGGGCATTCGGGCACAGGTTCGTACATGTTGAATAAATCAGTTCGCCTGCAGTTTTCGTAGGGTTAGTTGGGTGCATTTAATCTAGAACTTATTCATCAGTTGACTAAAAGAGTGGAAGTATTCAGTGACGGTATTCCTTTCCATTGAATTGATTTTTGACGGGTATAATTCCTTGCGAGTGATTGGAGAAATTACTGATGATGATATCGCTGATATAGAATCATTTGCCCGAGATAATCTTCCGGATATGATTGCCAAAGATGAGTACAAAAATGTTTTCGGATTTTTCAGTAATTGTTCACAAAAATTTTCTATTTTGAGTGGTCATAAAAAATTTTGAGAATACTAAGAAACTATTGTCAAACTAAATTTTCTGATAATGTTGTGAACTCGAGTGGAAACCACATTTAAGACAATTCGGAGAAACCTGGTCAAGCTGATGCGATTTCTGAATCAGAATCTTCGACAACAAGTTCTCAGCAGAGATTACCTCCTGGATCACTCATGAAAAGAGAGTTGACGAATCTTACAGAAGAAAATACGACCATACAAAAAACGATTACATCATGGATTAAATCTACGTGTGGTGAGGAACGATGGGATCATTACAAAAACCTCTGCAATGAAATCAAAGTAACCTGTGAAATTAAAGACCACGACTTGAGGTGCACGGTTACATGCTTCTGTAAAAACAAGTTGACTCTTTGTCAGAATGCAAATATAGATTATTTCAAGAAAGACCTATAGTTTCAGATACCTATATCCTATATTCATCCTTATTTCATTTTGGTAGAAATGCTGCTAGGTTATATGAATTAGTTGTGGTAGAAGAATTATTTTTAGTTACCTCATAGACAGAAGAACTAGGCCTTGTTTTTTATTATTAAATGTTTGATTTTTTAATCCAGTATTTCATTTCATTTCAAGTGTGATAGTAAATTTCCTTAATTAATTATTAGGTATTCATTAGAATGCCCTAAAAAATCTTGAATTTTCTTGAAGTTATTTGGAATTCCTTGACATTCTTTGGAATCCCTTGGAATTCTTTGGAATTCCTTGGATTTCCTTGGAATTCCTTGGATTTCCTTGGAATTCCTTGGATTTCCTTGGAATTCCTTGGATTTCCTTGGAATTCCTTGGATTTCCTTGGAATTCCTTGGATTTCCATGGAATTCCTTGGAATTCCTTGGATTTCCTTGGAATTCCTTGGATTTCCTTGGAATTCCTTGCGAAAATGAAGTTTGGTGTACAAATTTTCGACCGCGGTTTACCCCTCGTCATATACCTATGGATGACCATGTTTTTTATGCAGCCAGCTCTCCTTCTATTACTCAATATTCTTGAAATCAATTTTCATATAAAAAATCTCAATCCTCTTCGTTAAATGAATACATTTAGAATACATTAAATTCCGTCGTTTTTTATTGAATACATTTCCGCATTCCGTGGTACTTATTTCTCATTTTTTTAGTTTGTCTGAGTTGAGTGTTGATTGAAACAATTATTATGTGATAGGGGACAGCCTATAGCTATTTTATTAATGCTATTCAATAAATTTTTCTGATACGACCCAAAAACAGTTGATATAGATGAATTTAATAAGGCACGCCTCGAAGGCTACACGGTGGAGGGAATACGGTCATTCAGAGTACATTCGCTGTTATTCTCCGGAACCTATATAATATAACAGTCATTAAACCTCTGTATTGAAATAATTAATGACTCTAGATATTCAAAGTTGATAATCGAAAAATGTTTCATCAAATAATTTTCCAGAATAGGAAAAATCTATTTGACCCAAGTTGACACACATATGTTTTGGAGTTCTGTCAGTGAAAATTACATTCATATAAAAAAATTTCGAAATACTATTGGGAACGGAAATGATATGTTGAAAATACAGTAATTTTCACCCATCAGTGCACTTTCAATGTATGAAGAATTTCACCTCTTCAATATATTAATTTCGGATTCTTCTTTCATTTCAATGATATTGAAAGTTTCTGAATTTCTCATAATGAGCTTTCCACCGAATATGAAAGTTAAAAATTTAATGTGCCAAATAGATTTTATATTCTGTAAAACTATTTGGTGAAAAATGATTTGATTATCAACTTGAAATATTTAGAGTTATTATATGTTTCAATACAGAGCTCGATACCGAGGTTTCATGCCAATAGATGATATTTTTCTAATTCATTTATTTGATCAATTGATGATCATTCTGACCTATATATACCTAACGTGTAGGTATAACGATGAATTGTTGCAACAAATATACCAATGCTGTCATGAAGTCGGAGAAGACCTGAACTGAACTGAACTAAGTGGATGGAATGAAATGAAAAAATTCAACTTCAGAAAAAGCAAGGTCAATGATCGGCAAAAATATTGAAATATACCCCACTTTCAGAGTATAGCGAGGAGTATAGGTACTTATTGGTTGAAAATGCAATACTCTCAACATTTCGAATTAACACTCTTAAATTTAACGATTGCACACTTTTAAACATTAGTTTTTCAAAACCTCACTCGATCACAACTCAGAATCAGAACTAAAAATCGTATTTAACAAAAGAAATGCACGACGCACGAGATTACAGACCGACTGGACCGACTTGATTTTGATAACTCGAGACACATTCGTCGAAGATCGTTATCCATTTCACGTATAAGAAAAATTCGATAACAAGTAAAACAGTAAAATGTTTAAAATTCACTCGTATGTGTTACTTATTATTGGTTTATACATTATTGTCATAACAAAAGAAGACCAATGAAGTCAATTGAAATACTCCTAATAAAACGTCTCTATATAGTTCAAATATAAGAAAAGTCTATACCTACAATCCTACGAAAAAATTTACGATTGAGAATACACTAGAAATTGATTTCATTATTGTTTTCACGGAAAACCTTGATTTTCATAAGATACAACACTTGGCATTTACGAAAAATTCCTGAAAATTATAACAAAATATGCACTCTCATATAGCATCCTACATTCTTCAACTATTATCGGAGTTTCGGCATAAGTCATTGATACTCCCGATACTGTTGACCTGGAAGCAAACGCTCAGGTTCGACTGTTATCCTCTCATAAATTTCCAGGATCAATTTGAAGTTCAATATCTTCCACAATATTTCACCGAAATTCATTTTTTTTCTTTTTATTTTTCCTCATGATATATGAAACTCATTTCATTCATCACCACAAATTCGAAATACCTACCCCGTTCTATTTGAATTCAATTTCTATGAAATCTTTTGCACACTCGATAAAATCAATATTGCACAAATACTAACTGACGATACATCGATGAATTCAGATAAAAAAATCAGTAGAGCATGACAAAAAATATTAAAGGAAGAGGAAATCGAATTTGTTTCATCAATTTCATAAATCGGATGAATATTCTACTTATCGCAATGTTTTTTCATATATAAAACAGCATGTAATACAGGTTCGTTCATTCTTCCCGAAGGAACACCATCGAATAGAGCAACACCTGCAAGCAATCTGAGGTCGAAGCTCACCAAAAGAACGAAATCATCCCCAAAGGAAAATCATCAGTACCAACCTGGGTAGAGCTTCCGTCCCCAAGCGGCTGCCACAGGGTCCAGTTCGTGGCCCGTTAGCGACAGAGCCGGCCAGGGAGACGCCGTCGGATAACCGCGCTCCACCGTATGTGCCTCGTCAGACCTCGTCTTGCCTGAGTACCGTCACAGCCTCTCAAACCCTGGCCTTCCGGCACCGCGCACTCGAAAATCAGAGCCAAATCGCCCACCCGCACACTCGATTGCTGTATCTCGCGAGACTTCCTGCACCGCGTGAGGTCAATTCGCGACTGGGACTCCCCCGGCCGCCAGCATGAGGATACTTCGGGCGGGAGCCTCCCCAGGGTGGAGCCCCGCCCCTCGGGACCAGTCTGGGGTGAGGGGCGGGGCTCTCTGGAGGCCAGGCCAATGGGGGGAGCGCGCGAAGGCCAATGGAGCGCGTCGCGCCTCCCCGGGAAGTCGGGCGGCCGGTGGTGGTCTCTGCAGGAGGTCGCGTGAAGCGATCAGTGCGGCGTTCGGACGCACGGTAGCAGGAAGGTCGTGTGTGGAGAGAATTGGGACTTGACGGCGAGGTTACGCGTGTGATGTGCGATGCACATGCGAGATTGCCGTACATAGCCAATTTGTTTGATTGTATGTCTGTTACTTGATATAGGCATGTTTTGGGTTCACAAAGGAAATTGGTAGGATGATGCAATTTACTGTAGCTTCTTTAAACCTCTAATTGGTGGTACATATTCTGGGTCTGCCACTTGAACTGATGTCAAATTACTCAACAAATATAGTTCAGAGAGTGAAAATTGGTGAGGATGTAAGCTCGGATTCGATAGTGAAAATTGGAGTTCCACAAGGAACAGTGCTGGGTCCAATACTGTTTCTAGTATACATGAATAACATTGCAAAAATAAACGGTCTCAAGGCACATCTCATATGTTATGCTGATGACACAGCTCTAATTTTCACAGGAGAAAAATGGGACAATATTAAACATGAAGCTGAAATAGCCTTACAAAAAATACATGCTTGGTTGAATTCTAATAAACTGACCTTGAACGTTGATAAGACTGAATTCATAGCCTTCACACCAACAGTTGTTAACCAACCAATTAACTTCTCCATTGAATTACATTCAGTTCACTGCGCCACCAAAACTCGTGTGCATGCCCCTCAATAGAGAAAGTTTGTTCAATGAAGTACCTAGGAGTTAGGTTAGACCAACACATACGATGAACCAACCATGTAACACACGTAAACAAACGCTCTTAGGTACAATTTCTATACCTACCCTGCGAGAAATCCTTGCTGAAAAAAATCTTCTAATGCTCTATAATTCCTTAGCTGAATCTATTTTGTCATACTGCATCACAATATGGGGTGGTACTTTCAACACCACTCTGAGTATCCTGCAAAAAACACAAAATACACGATAAAAATAATTCTGAAGGGAGACAAAAGATCTTCTACTGACAGGCTATATCAAGAAACGCAACTATTGAACACCAAGTTGATATTTGCTCACCAATGCTTGAAAAGAATGTATATGTATATACACCGTGACAAGTTCAACAAAACAAGTATTCGGATTATGAGGTCAACTACAAATGAGGATCTAAATATCCAGTATTTCAGAAAAACATTAACACAAAGATCTTTCTTTTTCTTTGGTCCTAAATTTTACCACTCCATTCCAACCGATCTGAAACGATCTGAAACTGAAACGAAAAAACACATTTTAAACTCACCAACAAAATTGTATGAAATATTGAACTCAATTTGAACTCAGAACAGACTTAGAAAAATATTAACCGACTGCTGAAAAAAAAACAATTAACAGACAATGAATTACCTTCAGGTGATAGGTGATAAGTACCAACCTACCACATATCTGTCATCTGCTCTCCCCTGTATCATCCACAGTTTTATTTATTCATTTACTACTGTGTTAGTTAGTTCCAATAATTAGAATTAATTTATTTATTTATTTAATATTAATACATCCAGCAGGCTTACGCCCATTTACAGGTGCATGTAATAATACATGGTTATTAGTTGGATCGCTAAAAATATATACCTATATTTATATACATAACTCTGAAAGAATATAAACTAAGATATGTGAAACCAGTTCCTCAAGGCACTAAATAGTCTATGCTTGAATTGAGACAGCGAGAGAAAAAATATATCAATACTTTGTAGATTGTTGTAACTTCGGCACATTGTTGTAAGGGGACAATGGAAGTGATGTTGTGTGTTGGGCACAGCAATGCGGAACGTTATATCTGATCTTGACACGGATCGTGGTACATTGAAATCAATCAGAGAAAGTAATGAGGGTAAATCGATATGGTTATGGATTATTTTATGCATAAAAGTTAAATCGATTATTTCGCGATGTTTTTCAAGAGAAAATAAATCGAATTCGCTCAGCAATAGGTAATAGCTATAGTGTCTTTGAGGATACACGCCATATTTTTTATAGTATGCATATTTTAAAAACTTTCTTTGCACTGATTCAATGGCTTCGATATATTTGGAATGACATGGATTCCATACGACACTGCAGTAATCTAATTTACTTCTCACCAATGAGAAGTAGACACTGCGCAAAGCACCAAATGATCTGAACTCCTTGCAGGCACGAATCAAAAATCCCAAAGAATTCATAGCTCCTGCCTATTACACTTTCTATATGAGTGAAGAATGTCAACTTTTGGTCAAAAAGAATTCCTAAATCTTTGAATTGTTGAACTCGCACTAGTTGTGAAGTATCCAAGTGATAATCAAATGAAATTGGGGTAGATTTTCGTGTGAAAGTCATGACTTTACATTCATTGGTATTCAAAGAGAGTTTTTTTTTGAGGCACCAATCATTGATTAGATCAAGATCCAGTTGTAATAGTTGACATTCATCAATAGTTTCAATTTCTCTGTAGATTTTCATGTCATCAGCAAATAGTAGTTTAGCAGACTGGATACGATCACATATATCATTGATAAAAAGTATGAAAAGTGAAGGTCCTAAATTGGAGCCCTGTGGTACTCCTGAAGTTCCCTTGAATGTGAATGATTTGACACTATTATATTCTACGAATAACTTCCTATTTGATAAGAAAGATTTCCGTAGTAACTCAATGTCATAGGATATTCCGAAGCTAAGACAATTTACTCAATAATTGTAAATGTGATACACGGTCAAATTCCTTTCTAAAATCTGTATAAATTACATCAACTTGATTTTTGCAGTCAAGAGCATTAGACACATATTGGGTGAAAGTACATAAATTTGTTGCCGTGCTACGCGATTTCACAAAACCATGTTGAAATTCAGATAGAGAAGTTCGAACGTGATTATAAATTGAGTCAAATATGAATTCTTACAGTTATATATTTTTCTCCATTTATTTATAAATTACTCACTATATTCCAACACAACACAAAATGTACGATCATCATGAAAATCCTGAGACCGAGCACAAAGCAAGACAGGCATTCTTGCCTAGGCTTAGATGCAAGATCTAGGATTTTCTCTTTTTATATATGATTTCATGCAACATCATGACATGTACTTCACAATCAGAGAAATAAAAAATTGAAATTGAATTGAATTCGTCGAAGATGTATCACCAACTAAATTTTTCGGAAATAATAAGTGAATCATCACAAAATCTTCAGAAGAAAACTATATACTCACAAATCTTCTTCAGGACTTGGTTCGAATAAATAAGACATTATATATATATGAACTATGAGCTTTTATTGTTCTCCATATAAAGAGAATATATTCACCCCAAACTTTTCAATATCTCAAGTGAAAGTTTTGATGGTTCAAGAAAGATTTCAACATGATCATTCGAAAACATACTAATACCTGGAAAGATGAGTACCTAATATATCTACTACTCATCAAGTAACAATGAGGCAAACATATTTATTTCAACTGAATTCACCATGAATATCTGATGAACAAATTATAAAATTAATACTTCTATGGATAAATAACCCTGGATAACCATCGTAGTTACAACTTTTAGTCCATGTATAGATACACCAGTTTACATTCATAACAAAATTTTGCTACATCACACACCTTCACCAGCACGACAGTGCCCTATCGATTCGGACGATCGAAACAATTGAACAATAATTGAACACGGGCACCCATGACCAAGAAAAAAGGGAAAATGAACGCGATCTGTAGCGATGTCAATAACAGAACTGATGAAAAATTAGAGCGAAATAAACCGAATTACGATGGTCGAATGGTTGTCAAATAACCGTCATAATATGTGAATTGCTATAGTTATTCGTCAACGTACATTGCTAGAAATTCATACAGCTATGATTATTGGTACAAACATTATCTGAATTCACCAATAAGCATAATTCACACAGCCGTGTGGTGGTCGGATTAGAATAACCCCACGGTAAGTCCTGCCTGTCGTAGAAGGCGACTAAAAGGACGCCAATAGGTGGAAGATGGCTAACGCCATCGCCCGGTGCGATACCACCACATCAACCATAGGCACTGTGAAATGGGTATACTTACCCGTGTTTCAGTAGCTGGTTGATGTTCCGGCCAACCCAACCCAACCCAATTTCCTTTTCCTTCCACGCCAACCACCCTTCTTTATACAGAATACGCGATGATGAGTTCTCCTCAAGTGAAATTATCCGGAAGTAAAATACCTCTCCATTCGGATTTCCGGGCGAGAGGTGCTAGAGGGGGTTCACCATCGGCTGAAAAAGTCCTCAAGATAGACCTATGTAACATCCGAGGTCTAAGTAAGAACATCAACGATGTCCATCGACACCTTCAAATTGAAAAGCCAGACATATTGGCTCTTACTGAGACACAGGTCAATTCATCGACCAATACGACCTATCTGCTCTGTCCTGGGTACGAACTCCACACACGTTTCAGATTCAAGGGAGGTCTCTGCCTCTACTCTAAAACGAATCTCTCATGTCAACGAGAAAAAACTTTGGAACCCAATAAGTTTGATGTCATGTGGTTCAAACTCGATAGCCAGAAACAGACCAAATACCTTTGTTGTCTCTACTTATCACCAAATGATCCATCCTATGGGGAGCTCTTCGAATTCTTGTCTCTGAAGCTTGACCAAATTCAACAGAACCATCCAGCAGCAGAAATCATCATCATGGGCGATTTCAATGTACACAACACTGCTTGGCTCGTACACTCTAACAAAACGGATGAAGCTGGGCGACAAGCCGAAGCTTTCGCCATCACTCACGGCTTAGAGCAGCTTA